CCATGTTGGTTTACATGTCGAGTTTTATGTTGAACGCATTTCGACTTCCATATCGGCTTGCATGTTGATTGCCATTGGATTTGCATTTCAATTTGCATTCCGATTACCACTGGCACTTCCCACGGGGCAACTGACGCGACCGCCAAAGGACATCCCGCACGGGGCAACTCACGGGACAACCCGCGGGACAACCCACGGGACAACATCGCAACAACCCACAGGACGACCCCAGAACATCGCAAGGGACAACCGCGGGACAACCACGGCGAGGAAACGGGTAACCAGAGGGGAGAAGCTTGCACAGCTTGCTGCGTCAGCACATCTCGTCGCCCTCGCGCAGCCTCGCCTCGAGAGCACGCGCGACGCACAAATCGACAGCGAAACCCACTTCCTCGTTGGGGTCACTTCGTTATCACCCCCCAAGCTCCGATGTCAGATGAAATCCATGAGATTAAAACAAACAAACTACTCCCCAGAACTCTCCCGGGGGCCATCTGGGCCAGTTCTTCATCCCCGAACGTGTTCTGGCGGCTCGGGGGCCCAAAAGAGAACCTCCAGACGCCCAAATCGACGACACGAACTCGGTACTAACGAGTATCTCCTCGATCTGTTCGTCGCTCGGAGAGGGGGGGCAGGGTCGGGGGCAGGAGGGCATCAGCGAGTCTTTTTGTTCCCCTTGGCGCCCCCTAAAGTTGCAGCCTGGGGACTGGCCTCGACTCTGCGCTGAAAGCGGCCCGTGCCAAAACGTTGCGGTGCCAAAGCCACCTCAAGGAGGAAGAGGAGGAGGAGGTGAAGGAGGTGAAGAAGGAGGAATAGGAATAGGAATAGGAGGAGGAGGTGAGCAGCAGCGGCGACGGCGGCATCGCGCGCCTCCTGCATTACCGGCGGCTGCACAGCGCCCGCGGCGTCCCCGCCCGCGGCGGCGCCCGCGGGCGACGCGGCTGGCTCGGCGCCCGCCGGCGCCTGGCAGGCAGGGCGCTGCTCCTCCACCACGTCGGCGGCGACGGCATCGAGGTCCGAGGACGCAGGCGTCCAAGTTACGTCTTAGGCGCTGTCTGGGCACCACTGGGGGCCTCTACTTGGGAACCTCTTCTGCGGGTTCTCTGGGGGCCTGTAGGGACCTCATCCTCCTCCAACTCCTCCTCCTCCGCCTCCTCCTCCTCTTCCACCTCCTCCTCCTCCGCCTCCTCCTCCTCCGCCTCCTCCTTTTCGGCCTCCTCCTCCTCATTGTCCTTTTCCTCCTCCTCCTCCTCCTCCTCCTCCTCCTCCTCCGCCTCCTCCTCCTCCGCCTCCTCCTCCTCCTCCGCCTCCTCCTCCTCCTCCGCCTCCCTCCTCCTCCTCCTCCGCCTCCTCCTCCTCCTCCTCCTCCTCCTCCTCCTCCTCCTCCTCCTCCTCCTCCTCCTCCTCCTCCCCTCTTCCTCCTCACGGAACAGTAGCAGCAGGTGGGCGCCTCGCCAAGCTCGCCGCCTCCATGGAGCGGCGGCGGGGGAGGCTCGCTCGCCCGCAACAGACTCTCCACGTCCAGCAGCTCGTCGGCAGCTGCATTCGCCTCATCCCACGGCCGCGGGGCCGACGCTGACGCTGACGCCGACGGCGGCGGCGGCGACGACGATGACGGCAACGGCGGCGGCGGCGGCGACGACGACGACGACAGCGACGACGCCGACGACGGCGACGGCGACGCCGACGACGACGGAGCCGGCGACGCCGACGCAGACGCCTCGGGGATCTACCCCCGGTCAGTCAGGCTTTGCAGGTTCCTGCAAGATCGTGCAGGATCCTGCACGCTAGCCCGGGTCAGTGCAGGCCCTGCAGGATTCTGCAAGACTCTCTGACTTACCCCATTTGTACTGACCCCCGTTTCAAGGCCCCCGAACGCCGACGCCGACGCCGACGCTCGAGACGGCGACGGCGACGGCGGCGGCGGCGACGGCGACGGCGACGACGACGGCGACGGCGACGACGACGACGACGAAGGCGGCGACGACAGAGAGGATGAGAACAAAAAATTGGGAGCACTGGGAGTGGAAAGAAACAGGAGAAACAGCACAGCGACGCCGACCACGACGACGACGACGAAGACGACGACGGCGACAACGACCACAACGACGACAGTGACGACAATGACGACGATGATGACGATAGAGGCACACCACAACTCAACGACCTTGGAATGTTTTGCCGCCATGTTCCACTGGCACGGTCCGGCGCGGTAGAATGCTGAATGTCACCAGTTGGGAAGGTAGGTCGGGTATGTCACCCGACAGCCGGTTTTGGACGAAAACTTAAAATGATCAAAAATGCCTAACAATATTTTGTTTGCATATATATATATATATATATGTTTATACACACATATAACTATTCCTGTATATCCTGTATATGGGCACACCCGACTTAATGGTAGGGTGTCCTTGTTTTTTTTCGGGGGGGGCTCCCCTCTCCGAGGCCAGGTTCCCTCGATACAACCAACGGGATCGCGTTCCCGAGGCCTTGATCGCTGGTAAAGAACGGCGGGCGGATCCGTGCTCCCGAACTTCCACGACGGCCGAGGCAGGCAATCACGACTGGCACGGTCCAAGACGGCCCAAGATTCGGGGGCGCGAAAACGTGGACTAGCGACCCACAGATCTGGCGCGCGGTCACCAGATCCATGGATCGGGGGAGGTGCCCTCCCCAAAATACGGTTGGCGCCGCCTCGCACGGCGGCGGAAATCCACGAGCTTCCTATGGAAACGGGACCCGTCGCTATTCCACGCCCCTTTGGATCCATGTTTGCGATCGCCTGAAACATGACCCAGAGGAGGCCCAAGATGGCCTCACGACGGCCCAAAATGCCTCCAAGAGTGCCCAAGAGAGCCTACCGATAACCCCCAGCAGAGCCCGATGAGGCCCAAATTAGTTGTTTCATATTCGCAGGTCCTTTTGTGGGGCCACCAGGCTGTAGGCCGAAGTGCGCTGCTCGCTGCACCAGTTGCAGCTTCAAGTCTCCAATGTTACAGTCCTACTTTCTGTTTCCTGCTGAAAATTGTTAAGTCCGCGCGAGGGGGGGGAGCCCCAAACCGGCCGGTTACCACGCCCGCAAGGGGAGGCAAAGATAACGACGAGGGTGCAACTTTCTCCCCCCATGGCCCCTACGGGCAAACAAGGGTGACGAAAGGACTGATACCCGCATGTTTTCCTGGAAAGGGGACCCAGCGGCACAGTTGCCTTCATCTCCTCCGCATGCTCCTCCTCCCCCTCTTCCTTTTCTTCATGATACTTTCATATGTACCATTAGTATTACTGAAATGGCATATACTAGTAAGAGTAGTAGTTCACATAGCTGCACTGTTCTACTAGCATGAATTTACCTAACATTAGCATCAGTACTACGATGATTGTTGTTCTTAGTACTGTCGGTAGTATCGGTATAAGTCGTACTAGTATTATTGAATATTCTTCCGACTGAAATCATGATTGGGTGTGTTAGCATCATTCTTATGATCATGATTATGTCCGCCTCCTCCTCCTCATCCACCTCCTCATCCTCCTCCTTGCGTCCCGCCGCGCGGCCTGCCAGTTCCTGAACATGTTGTGTTCGGCGCACTGCTCCGAGGAAGCCCCGATGCCAGTCGCCTCGCAGAGCTCCTCCTCCGCCTCTTCGGCAGCGATGCTGCTGAGGGTCTTGCCCTGGAGCCGCGGGGAGGAATTCGGATCGAATCGAGCTCGGGGGGGCTACGTCAGAGCGTCCTCACGAGAAACCGGGGCTACCCCTGGCAGGCGTGCTGGTTCGCAACAGCCCATGTCACTTCAATCGACGCCACGGGAATACCGAGGAACTGCGCAAGGCCGCAAAGCGTAAGACGGCCAAGGAGGGCCCCAAGGACCCTCAAGACTGCCCCACAGCAACCCGAGGCAGCCCCAAGACGGCCCAAATGGGCTCCATGAGAGCTCCTTCAGAAATGAAGGCAAAAGGTGTCACATGTGACGGCCGTCCACTTTCTCCTCTTCCACCTTCTCCTACACATCCCTCCTCCTCCTCCTCCTCCTCCTCCTCCTCCTCCTCCTGTTCCTCCTCCTCCTCCTCTACAATGAACAATGAGTCAATATGAATATAACTCTCCTATCTCCCCTGGTGACGTCCGGGAAATGTCCAGCCCCCCTCCGCGTACTGCTTCTTTACACACAAGATTCCTGGGAGTTGAGTTTTCGCTTGGGTTGTTTCGAGATGCTGGTCTCGCTGAAGCGCTGACCTCATTTTGGGCTACCGCTCGTTCCAAACCGTGCTCCCGCTGCAACGCTGGCCTCATTTCCGCGCTTCCGCTCGTTCCGAACCGTGCTCCCGCTGCAGCGCTGGCGTCATTACTTCCAGCGCCATGCCACGGCATGGTTTTCGGTCCGTCCGAACAGACCCAAAAATCTAAAAAATACCCCCCGAAAAAACCATCGGAAGTGGTACACATTCGGTGTCGATTCGTTGATTTCTGAGGCCGCAGAAGCCCCCCCCACTTCAAGGCTTCGACATGCTATATCAGGCTACGTGTCCTCTGAACCGCGTTCCCGCTGTAGCGCTGGCCTCATTTCCGCGCTCCTGCTCGTTCCGAATCGTGCTCCCGCTGCAGCGCTGGCGTCATTATTTCCAGCGCCATGCCACGGCATGGTTTTCGGTCCGTCCAAACAGCCCCCCCCCCTCAAAAAAAAAAAAAAACGAAAAAACCATAGGATGTGATTACACATTCGGTGTCGATTCGTTGATTTTTGGGGCCGCAGAAGCTCCCCCCGCTCCCCCCCAGCGACCTTAAAAATCGATCTGGCTGGAAAACACCAGTCCGACTTGACGCCGTGAGGGGTCCAGGGGCCCAGTGTGAGCCGATTGTTCAAGGAAGCCAGACCATCGAGCCTGGCAGCCCGCCGTACTATTTCCTGACATCCGTCCTCACCCGCCGCAGCTTCCGGGAAGCCTTCCCCCGCCGCCGCCGCCGCCGTCGTCTGAGTCGTTGTCGCCGTCGGCAATTTCTGTGCGTTCCCTGGAGCTTCCGGAAGTCTTCGGGCCATCCGCCACGCCTCGTGCAGAGCTGTCTGGGGAGCCCAGGGGGACTTGGAAGGGGGCTCGGGGAACGCAAGGCAGCGTGTCGAAAGGAAAGGGTGAGGGCCTCACGCTATTACATTACCCCTACCAGACGGCACTTGGCATTCGAAAGCGCCCACATCGGGCAGGCACAGTTGCGCAGGACATGGAGCCAGGATTCCAGACAGGCCTTCTCCTTTCGTACACGGGCCATTTACCCTCCAAAGCATCCGGTGCCATGCCATGGCATGCAATGCGACGTTGCGTTGTGCTCCGCTGTGCGATGCCATGTTTTGCGATGTTATGCCTCGTGATGCATTGCTACACTACGCAATGCCAAGCCATGCTATGACATGCTCTGCTCTGCCGCGCTCTTCTACACCATGCTATGCCGTGCCCGCAAACCCTCTCGGGATCATTGCCTTGCTCGACATCAGCCTTTGCGCATAAAGAAGATCTGCGCCATCGTAAGGGTTGGGAGGGAGGGGTATGACGACAGATATGACGCGAGCGAACCTAGCTTGTCATCCTCCCCCTCCCCCTCCCCCTCCCCTCCCCCTCCTCCTCCTCCTCCTCATCCTCATCCCCCTCTTGCTCCCCCTCGTCCCGCTCATCCCCCTCCTCCCCCTGCTCCCCCTCCTCCTCATCCTCCTCTCTTCCTTCTCCTCCTCCCGTCCTCTTCATCCTCCTCCTCAACATCATCACCATCATGATTTTCCACATCAAACTCGTCCGCTACGATGCTCCTTCAATCCCACCAGCCCTCTGGGCGTCGGTGGTTTAGGACGTTTCCTCTTCCACCCCTTCTTCTTCCCCTTGGGGAAGGGGTTTACCCCTCCCCCTAGCCCCTCCCCGTGGACCTGGACGGGGGGGGCGCGAGCGGTCAGAGCGTCCAAAACGGCATCGGCGAGGAAGCCAAAATCATCGATGTTACTAGGGTGTTGGCCCCATTTTGGCATCCTGAGGGGGCCACCCTAATTGAAGCTCCCCTCTTCTTTGATCGATGTCCTCCAAGACGGCCCCAAGAAGCGCCCAGGAGGCCCCAAGAGGCCCCAACATGGCCCCAAGAGGCCCCAAGAGGCCCCCAGGAGGCACCCAAGAGGATCCCAAGCGGCCCAAAGAGGCCCCCCCGAAGTACCCAAGACGCCGAAAAGCTCCTCAGGACGACCCTCTGCTCGCCTGGGCGTCGTTTCTGGATGGGCTGGTGGAGATACGCGAAGCGTCTAGAATTTCTGTTCCTCTCCCAACCAATTACCATGTGAGTACAGACCCGTAGCAGTCATACCGATACTGCACCAGCTCATGCCACGACTACATTACAACCGACTGGATGCTCTATTCGACTCGCACCAATAACCTGACCAAGCTGGCTGTCGCAAAGGCTTTTCCAGAGGACCACCTATTTACTGCGTTGTTATCCGAGCAATCTTAAATGTATCAACTCCCGCAGTGGATGACTGCAATCAACCTTGAAGGTGTTCGATTGCGTTGACTACCAACACCGTTGGGAGGGACTGAGACAGCAACCTGTGCCAGAACCCTACATTTGCTTACTACAGGAGTTCTCGACGCTCAGCCAGCAGTGGCCACAGAGAGGGGCCGAAACACCTGGAGCCCTCGATCCCCGAACCCCGACTTTCCTCCCCCCCGAAGTGGGCGACCTGAACATGCGAGACCAGAGGCCCCCCACAAAGGGGCCCGAGTAGATGGGGTCGGAGGATATCGCCGCATCGCCGATGCATCAGTGACGTATCGTCGATGCATCGCCAGCGTCGGCGTGCAGAAAGAGTCGCAGAACGTCGGGCTGCGGTCCGATGCGCATCGCCGATGCGTCGGCGATGCGGGTGCGGTCCGCCGGCCCCATCTGATCCGACCCCGTCAGGGAGGCATACAGAGGAGGCCAGTCCACGAGAAACCCTCCGCAGGAAACCCAACCCTGAGACCCCAGGACGCCCACTGATGTTTGGTGTGGGAACGCCACGCTCTCCGTGGCAAAGCCATCGAAGCCCAAGGCAACCCCGGGCACCCTGGAGAGCAGGCAGGGTGCTCCTTCCCGTGGGCCCCCGCCGTAGAGAGAGACACGAGCCCCCCCCCCTGAAAGAGGCCGCCATGAAGATGTGAGCCACGATCTGGTAGCACACGATGAGGCCGAGCCAGAGCGCGGTGCCGCGCCGCCCCAGGGCGGCGGCGGGTTTCCCCGGCGCCCGCCCGCCAGGCAGGGCGCCCGAGGAGTCCTGTGCGCACACCCGCCCGCAGCGGGCCCCCGCCCGCCCGGCACGGAGGGAGGCAGAGAGAGAGAGACCCGAGCTGCTCGCCGTGGTCGTTGCTATCGTCGTATCGTTGTGCTCGTTGTGTTATCGTTGTGGTCACTGCTACCCTCGTGATAGTTGTCATCGCTGTTATCGTTATCGCTGAGAGAGAGAGAGAGAGAGAGAGAGACCCACACTGCT